TGCTTGATATATGTTTTATTCAATGTAAAGTAAACAGTGCTTCTGTAAGGAATCGTACATATATTGACTAAAGAATAACTATAAAACTTTCACATTTTGTATTTGGGTCTCTTTCTAACAGTTCCCAAACCATCTCTTTCAAAGACAAAATACATATAAAGTACTACATGAATCCATTTTATTTCGTGGTTTAAACTACTATTCTGCAGGAACGTCCAAATCATAATTCTGAATAAAGGAATCCAGTCCCTGTTTGTTCTGTGTGAAACCTTATAACACTTCATTCACTCTCAAGGTAAATGACATAGCAAAACAGCATGCAGTTGCGGTCACATTCCGAACAGTTTTAAGATAATTGGTCGGTGAGTTTATCGAAAATATACTAAGTTTATCGGATACAATCATACATAACCACTACTTTTTCAAACATTGTTCTCCGTAGCTTATGTTTATTGTTAACTTAATTTGAATGCTATAGATTATATTTCTTAAATGTATTTAATGAAACTATGACATTCTTTATAACGAAAACCAATATCAGTTAATGCGGATTTCCTCACGTTTCACGGAATATTTCATATTTTGGACTGAATTTCAAATTCACATTGAACTGAAGAACATGGTGTGTAATGTGGTAATGAATACCGTACTACCAAAACTTCAATTACAAGTGTAAATATTTGGAAGGATTTATGTCTTTAGCCCGAGAAACCGGGAACCACTTACTAATCAACTTCCTATATTTTGACTGACTCATTTAACCACTAGATAACATCAAAATTTATTTCCATCCAACTTTCGAAATAAATGTGAAGAAAAGCATCAGAACCGACAAACGTAAATATGTGGAAGATTTAGCAATTATGGCGGAAAAGGCTGCAAGAGAAGGAAATATGAGACAATTGAATGATACAACTAAGAAACTCGTTGGAAATTACCGTAAACCAGAACGACCAGTGAAAAGCAAGGATTTATTTTTATTTATTTAAACACATAAATATTGGTACAAGGAAGCACCAGATACATACGCGCCTCACAAATCTCATTTGACTTGTGTGAAGGCTGTGATAATGCCCGGCTGCCCAAACCGAAGCAGGTGGTTTTCTTAGGGGGCCACAACCCGAGCCTTTGACCGAAAGATCTGATCCACAAGGCAGTGGAGCATCGTGAGGAGATGAAGTCCCATGGTAGCCAGTGATCAACGATTGATTCGTATGCCATTTGTTCCCTCAGGATATTGGAGCCCATGTGCACCATTCGATTGAAATCAGGGTTTGACAACTCCCCTAGGTGGATTCTCCTTGTCCACCAACCCGGTTAAAGCGCCGGACATTCGCTCTTCGTCCTCTCAATTTCGTAAACAACACCCCCGCCACGAGAAGGTAGTGAGTAGGACTTCCCACATCGAATTAGCACCCACGGACCTCCCAATAAATGTTGGCCCGCCAACAATTGAAGAGATCAGCATGGTCATCAGACAAATCAGGAGCGACAAAGCAGCAGGACCAGACAACATCCCGGTAGAGGCACTGAAAGCAGATGTAGCAGCAACTGTAAAGATACTCCACACTCTCTTCAGTAACATTTGGGATGAGGAACAAGTACCAACAGATTGAAAAAAGGACTTCTGATCAAGATACCAAAGAAAGGCGATCTCACCAAGTGTGATAACTACAGAGGCATCACTCTTCACTCAATACCAGGAAAAGTATTCAACAGGGTGTTGTTAAACAGAATGAAGGACTCCGTAGACGCCCAACTTCGAGACGAACAGTCTGGATTCCCTAAGGATCGATCGTGTACAGACCAAATCGCAACACTATGGATCATTGTGGAACAATCAATCGAATGGAATTCATCACTCTACATCAACTTCATTGACTACGAGAAGGCATTTGATAGCATGGACAAGACAACACTATGAAGGCTTCTTCGACACTACGATGTGCCTGAGATAGTCAATATCACACGGAACTCCTATGATGGATTAAACTGCCAAATCGTCCATGGAGGACAACTCACCGACTCATTCGAGGTAAAGACCGGTGTCAGGCAAAGTTGCTTACTCTCACTCTCCTGGTGATCGACTGAATTATGAAGACGTCAACGACTGGAGGAAAGCATGGGGTACAGTGGACAGGTAGGATGCAACTTGACGATCTAGACTTCGCAGATGATCTGGCTCTTCTATCACACACGCTACAACAAATGCAGGAGAAAACGACCAGTGTAGCAGCAGCCTCAGCAGCAGTAGGTCTCAATACAAACAAAGGGAAAAGCAAGACTCTCCGATACAACACAATATGCACCAATCAAATTACACTTGACGGAGAAGCTTTGGAGGATGTGAAAACCTCTACAGTTCTACTGTATGGGGCGGGAACTTGGAGAATTACGAAAGCCATCAACGAGAAAATACTGGTGTTTATTAAAAGGGGTCTACAAAAAATATTTCGGATTCGTTGGCCAGACACTATCAGCAACAACCTAGTGTGGGAGAGAACAAACCAGATTTCAGAGGAGGAAGAAGCGCTGGAAGTGGATAGGACACAAATTAAGGAAAGCATCCAACTGCGTCACAAGGCAAGCCCTCACTTGGAAGACAGAAATGAGAAGAGTGAACAAAAGTTGGATAGAACTGGAAAGGGAGGCCCAGGACAGAGTGGGTTGGAAAATGCCGGTGGGCGGCCTATGCTCCATTGGGAGTAACAGGCGTAAGTTTGAAATAAATGTGTTACACACTGAAATGTTTCAATCTATTGTGTACCTTTGGTTATGCATTTGTTTTCATGGATCAAACGGAGTATTGCATGAGAAACATGAATTAGTTTAGTTAGTTCTAGGGAAGTTTTCACAGATAAAACTTCAGCTGTTCCTAATGAGAGCGCAGATCCAGTTGTTACTTAGAATGAGGCTACACGTCTGTCAATGCATTTACAAACAGTCCAACCATGACTATCCAGTCTCTTCGCTTAGTTTCTAACAATAGAGATTTTGAGAATTCCGGTGATATTTCTATGAAATCATGTTAAAATGTAGATAAATATTATGGGTAGACAGTTGGCAAAATATAGTTACACAAGTAGTAAAGTAGAATGCATGAAAATTTTTATTTTTCAAAGGTGTGAATTTCGTCTTATGACTGGGGAAAACTGTTAGTGGTGTTCACGATGAAATTTGTTAGTCATTTAGAAATGTTTGTATAATAAGGGACTAATGAATTGTTTTTTATTGTTGATAAAAGACCGATTAGACTTTAAATAACTTTTCTAAGGCATTTTAACATCAAGGTTTCAAATCGCTCTTGGAGTTACATTTATAAATGATAAATGTTTAGTATTACTAAACAGACCAAACCATCGTTAATGGAACTTAATCTTCCTATGCAAGTAGGAATTAGATTTGTAAAGAAAATCTAGTTTAGATTTAAGAACTACTGAATATAACGAAAGGATTAATTTCTGTTAGTCCGAAATCCCTCATAATGGTACACTTCTTAACCATTTCAAAGTCACTTCAAGAAAACGTCACATTAACACTAAGGTTCGCTAATAGAGTTTAAGACTAGAATGAAAGCGCTTGGAAATTTCTAATTTTTCACAACTGATGGCACGTGGCGTTATTATTAGTTTAACTTACTTATCTCATAAATCGTTTCCAGAAACGATAATGCACGCAGAACACTGCGACCTCTGGAACTGTTAAGCTGTCAATCATTAGTATCATCTGCTTAAACTACTGGTTTTTATTACTTTACTGACAAAATCTAACTTTAGATCTCTTAACGTATAAATTAAATCTCTTTTCTCAATAGTCATCCATTAGTGACTTTACATAAAGTTAATTAAAAGCTTACAACAACATCCCTACTCATATTTCCCATCTCAACGAATAAATCCACTTTAAGAGCTTGAATGAAGCAAGATGTAACTGAATTATTCCTAAGATGATTTTAACATGCGCCACAGTGTTCTCTCGGACCAACCTTCCTGTCAAACAATGTGTCCGTAACGTGTAACTAATCCAAATTACTTAGGGCTCTTTATTGAACTTTATTGAAATAGCCGATACACTTACGTTCTCCATGTCTTTGAAATGTTATTTGTATTCACCTATTACTTGTGAATTTACAATAATAGTGAAAAAATGTGAGTTTGACACTTCATTCGAAGGTATTACTCCTCTCCAAAATATCAAGAAAGTGATAAAATTAAGTCATTAAACTGTTTATACTCTTCATATTAATGCTAGTATTTTCATACGAGTACATGAAAAAACGGTTTGCTTCGCTGTTTTTAGGTATTAAAAAAACTGTAACTGGCATTTGTGACAAACAAGCTTTTTAAGAACTCAAGTAATGTCTACAGAATGAAGTCTAATTCAATATTTATTTATTTATTTGAACACAACTATTGATACAAGACGGCACCAGATGTATATGCATCACACAAAAAATGGTCATTTCATTTAATTGTGTGAGGGATATGATAATACCCGGGTGCCAAGTCCGAAGCAGGTGGTTTTCTTAGGGAGCCAAACCTCGAGTCTTTGACCTGAAGGTCCGACCCACAAGGCATTGGAGCATAGTAACGAGATGCAATCCCATGGTAGCCGGTGACCAACAATAAGCTCATACGCTACTTGTTCCATCAGAAAACTGGAGCCCATGTGCACCATTGGTTTGGAATCAGGGTTTCCCGACTCCCTGGGTGAACTCACCGTGTCCACTGGCCCGGTTAAAGCGCCGACGATTCGCTTTTCATCCTCTCAGTTTCGTAAACAACACCGCCTCCACGAGAAGGCACTGAGTAGGACTTTCCTGACAGAGGCTGTATACGCGTGACCGTGTGAGAGCATTTCGAGAGGGGAGGCCCTCCTCACTTTCGGCCGTACCAGGGTATTTGGGAGCAGGAGCACAGCCTAATTCAAAGAACTTGGGTTATCACGAAATTAACTGTGATTCCTAAAACGCTAAAAATCAACGCTGAATTTTACAACCATAGTTAACCTTTTCATCAGAGTTCAACTTAAATTTCAGGAACGATTCGATGTAAACAAACAAAATTGGACACGTTCAACACAAGATAATCAAACATCATCAACCACCCGACTTTATGGTGTCAAACGAGGAATTTATAATAAACATATCTTACAACAAATTTACATGTGATATTTTATATTTACAAGACGTACGTACAAAGATCGTATCAAGATTGAAGCGAAGTCAATCAAGGTCTCGCAATGAATAAAGGCAAAAGTTTGCGGCTACTATACATAAATACATAATCTTCAACTTGTATCCATTTTCATAGAAATCTCTTCGTGTACAGACTTTGATGACTGTGTAGGCATCAAATCATCTTTGACTGAAGATAGATCATCATCTACAAAAATTAATAATTACATTACGTGGCAGTTTATTTTAAATAAGACCTACCCTCAACAATTTTTTGTAAACCCTTTAGGGCAACCAAAAATAAATGGAATTGAGTTTTTCTAAGCCGAATTTTTCGGTCGTACTCTTCACTTAAATTCTCCAGTCGTTCTAAAGTAGCTTTTAATTTTCTATATTTTCTGTACACAAACAATAAAATCCATTTTTAACAATATGATATATTCAAAATACAAAAAAACATCTTGAAATAACTGACAAATACACGCACCGACAGTTTTACTGACAGATTTGTATAGGAACAGAAAGCTAAGTGTATTCATTAACATAGTGAATTGTTATTACCAAACCAAGGTTTTAAAAAACTATATTTATTAATGACAATCTACCCAACGCTCAATTTGTTTGGAATTCAAAAAGATATTTGCATATCTGTCGAACAACATAGTTGATATCCTGGACACGTTAAAAGTATGGGAGGTAATAATTTATTTTAACAGCAAATAAATTACTTCCATTGTGTTAAGTTCAGCGGACAGTTATAGACGAATAACGACTTTTAGTTCGATCATAATTTATTTCCATAACATAAAAATAATAATGTACTTTATTTATCAAATACATGTCATTCAGTCAGTCCGTTATCTACAAAGCAGGATCAAGCACATATATGCATCGGTCCCAGTTGCCATACTTCATTAGCACAACAAGATGAACACAAAATTCATAGAAGTAGTTACTTCAATGATAGTCATATACAAAAGAAAGATTGCGTATAATGATATAATACAGGAAGAAAGAATTAGTTTATAAAAAGGGGTGAAGTAATTTGGATCTCATAGTTAAAGGGGAGACAAATATTGTATACACTTACGCCATTATGATCAATTCTCAGCCATGTCACCTAGAGTCTCCAAACATTGGCTACGATAGTCACGCGTACCCCAACCAAGTAGTCTGCATCTACCAACATGGCTCAAACTAGAAGTTAGTGACTTCAAGCACTGATGCCATGTTTTTGTTTGGCCGCCCCTCTCTTCCAACCATACCCTACACTGGTCAGCATTGCGCGTCGTGGTAATCGGTGTTCAGGCATACGTGACACGTGGCCCAACCATCTTACTTGGTGAAGATTCACAATCCAATCAACTGATTTACCACCATTCCCTAATACCCTGTATCTAACCTCACTATTACTTACCCAGTGATCCCAATAGATACCTTCCCCATATGTGACGTAAGTTGATAAAAGCCAAACGCGCCTTTTGAATCCGTACTGAGATTTCGTCAGACATCAAACCATTAGGGTTAATCAGACATCTAATATAAGTGAAGTTGACGCGTTCGGCTACTTTACTCGCTATCCTTAGTTCAGGTGTTAACGCAGGCCAGTTCTGGAACAACAATTTGCATTTAGAGGGGAAGAAACGCATCCCCAAGATACTAGCATTTTTGTTCAGTGCTATCAAAAGACTGCATTTTATCCGTGCCTTCACCAAATAGGACTCGGCTTTGAAATATAATTGTTTTTGATGGCCAGTGAAACACGGTCTAACTGTCACCTAATGGTTAAAAATCTAATGTGTAGATCACAAAGTCACCGAGCCCTTAATTATCCAATGCTGTACGCTCCAATATCAAATGTTTGTAGCCATATTTGTTCTCATGAGGCTTATTGGGTGAATAAAATAACAAATGGCTCGTCTGTGATGCACATTTTATGTTAGTAACCGCCTAATGGTTTTCGGAAACATTATCTAAAATATCTGAGAATAGAACAATTCGATGACAAATAGCCGTATTCTACAACCGAGCACCATAATAACTTAGAAAATGGTCAATAATATGAACACAAACGAACAGGATAAAACCCTTTGTGCTAAGAGAGCTTCCAGAAGGAAGACGCCGTTTAACTCCAATAATCGATGAGTCAGAATCTAAGGTAATTTAGATTATAAAATAAAGGAGCATTATGGTCGGGATATTTACAACGAAAAATGCAATCAGAAATTTTCACTTGCCGTACCAACACTGAAGCGTAAGTAGATGAATAGTTCTTAATATAAAACCACTGCAATATATAGAAACTTACTCAAGTGTCTCATCTCTCTCTGGATGATCACAGAGAACTTTGGCAAGACTGTCATACTCTGTTGAAATAAGCTAACTATGAACCAAATTACCTCGTCTATTTTTCCTGACAGTTTTTGCGGATCTCAGATCTTCTTTACATTTTTGAATGCGATTTTTCGCACTTTCAATGGCCGTTTCTATAAGGATAATTTTTGTAGTTGCAACATACCAATCTCTTTATATAAATCCTCATACTGTTTTTGCTGTTCGTAGTTCATAGCTATTACTAATGACGACTGTTCCATGGCGTTTTCACACTGGTAAACACTAGCTATAAGGGCTTGATAAGCTTCGTAGCTGTTCCAAATAAAGATTTCAGAAATCATTTACCCGTCTTCACCAACATCATCAGAAGCTACCCATCGAAGATAATTTTTAAGTAATAGTGTAATTCTGCGGTCATCATTTCCACTTTCGCCTTCAATTAAGAGTCTTCTCTTTATGATTTCGTCTATACAAGATGTGAACCATATAAATTTATTGTACAACCAAACCATCCGTTATGGCGGACATCTGAAAACACTGAATATTCTTAAAAACTATGTTGAATTCGCGTCTAATATATGGACCGAAATTGTAGCCTGAATGCTCTACATGAATACAAGAAAAAAGGTTGCACCAATAAAACTAAAAAAACCAAAACCAAGATGAAAATATGGTCAAGTTTAGTTGCAGAACAATGAACCAAAAATAAGTTGCAGAAGAACCCAACATCGAATGAAAGGCTGAGATTGTCAAGCGCTCTTATCAAATATCAATTAACATAGAGCAGTGATCGAATATATATGGTATTTTCCAAGAAGAAAAAAGCTTTTCACCAAACCAAAATGCCAAAGTAAATAATTAATGTAAGGGTAAAATTCTGGACACAAGGGACACCTAGAACAAAAGGACTAGACAGCAAAAATGGTAGTTCGAATCTAATTGTTATCTTACTACTATAATAGACCTTATTGTACACCCAAATGACATCAAATAGTTGGAGTTTGATAACCTGAACAGAATATAAACTACCTAACGCATTAATTAACGAAAAATATCAGTTCGGAGTCTAAAACCAACGATCCGCAGATCTATTCTGATTTAGGTTCGGATCAAAAAGTCAATCATTTACGCACAGGAAGTGAACTTCAGGATACGCACGATAAAAAGGGCTTCCGTGTTATTATTTCAGGCAGAATTTTACTATTTTAGAAGCTACTTATATGCAGAATGTCGCCAGAATACTTTGACTTGTATTAAACTTCTGAAAAGAACAAAAACGCAGACGCCCAAATTTGCGAAGTCAGATTTGAATTCATTTTGGTCATCCCGTTACTTCATATTTGCCATAAAGGTGATGTGCTTCAAGCGGTTGCGAAAGCAACGTTTTATTGAAAGTTTGATATGAGGGCTTTAAAATTTACCAGATTAGGAGCAAGCAAACGCACAGAATCCAGGTAGATGCAAAAACCTAACATAAGAGCTTTGTTTTCAGAAATTCAGATAGTGCCTAAAAAATATGAATTCTTTCATTCCAGTGGCACAACAATACACTATTCACTAACGGCAATCCATGTGTATACAGATGACCTGGATTGTTTGAGGGTATACGACATATCAGACAATTATGTCTTGGATTCCACTTACACTAATACAATCAAGCCAAGTTCAAAGATGCGTTACTGTGTTATAAGTAAATGGATCTATGTACATTACCTGGTGGTAGTATATGGGCGATCCTAAGCCACTTTGAAGACGCTAAAAATTGATTTTATTTACTTATAAAACGATTCTTGACAATGAACTCTAACACTAATAGCGGATGAACAGACTTAACAGAGATAATGAACACTCATGCACGAATTGTTGGGATTCACATTACGGACAAATCTTGCGCCAAAACCTAGTCGGTTCACCCCCGCGCTTAATATCTGCTACCGAAATAAGAACATAATGAACGATAAGTAGTTTGTAAACCGAACAGTTTGTGAGTTACAGGAACTGAAAAAGCCCATACCTACCGTTGATGAAGTTGTGGGACTCAAGGCTCGTCTGCTCTAATCCTCCTTTCTACATTTTTGTTTGCTTCCGTGTATTCCCCCTTATCTTAGCTTCCAAAGCTCTTGTTCAACTGTTGTTAATTTATATATTCTTGATTTTCCTTTCTAGAATCCTGCTCAGACTACCGATGGAGATTCACTATTTATGATGGTGTTTCTTGTGGTCTAGCACCTCCTGGTACGTTGGAGCTGATGTTTCTTCAATCCCTTAGGTTGAAATTATGTGTTTTTGACTTACCTCTAAGTGCTTTCGTGAGATCGTCGTTTACTCCAACTTTTGTAGTGTTGCTTGTCTAACTATACAATGATTAATCAGTGTCAATTATAACCTGACCCCCACCAGGGAGTGATCTGTGGGGAGTAGTGTAACGTCGTGTACTATATTACACCTACATAGCTTATTCTAGTTTCTGGACAAGCCAATTCGCCTATCCATTATGAGTCATATTTTGATCTTGTTAATCATTCGCTTACTAACCTTGACTACCTTGTTATATGAGCGCATGTGTATGTATCCTTCTTATCCTACCTATCACATGTCTGTCATTCATTTTTGTCCGACTATAAATGTTGATTAACGCTTGCTTAAATCGAGTTGGCTTCCCAGCCATCTCCACTATGCGTCACCTTTCCTTCGCTTGCTTACATTTGCTAATGTGCTCACTGCCTTCTAGCCCATGTTATTTATCAATAAAAATGTAGTTGCTGCTTCCCTTTGTCTTCTGATATTATACACCGTTCAGATTGTTATAATAACGGTTATCAAGACGATCGATTAACGAAGCACTACACTACAGATCTGAAGCTGACAGACCATCTCTTCATCCTCACGTCTTCCTTGGACCTTTCGAATTTTTACTCACCCAGATGTAGATGATCTGACCTTCCGTGGTGTAGTCCGGTCAAGCCCATGTGACTTTGCATATGCACTTGTAGGAGAGAATAATACTGACCATAACAGTGTAGTTTTGGGTACACATTTGCCAGTCGTTCACCACTGTTGGTCCTTTCTCCAAACTTCTGACGCCTCATTCTACTGTTTTACTCAATTCTGTCCATTCTGACTTGGCTTTCAGGTCAACCATCATATAATCAAGTTTTTCCCCGAGCATTTCTATACGATGTATTGGAGTCTCTCATAAAGCATAATCATTTCCACCACTAGAATTCATGGGTGCGCATCACTGGACAACAGTGGTCATGATCTCTCCCTTATTAGTCTTGAAAGATTCTCTGGTGATTCTGAGGCTATGGGTTTCCCATCCTTTAAGCTCTATTTGTTCTTCTGACAGAGTTGGAAGAAATAATTGCGTGTGGGAGAGTTTTCTTCCTCATGGTCAGAATACAACTCTCTTAAAGTCACTCTTTCCTTTACAGACGCTACCCACTGAGTTTCGCTTCATTCTCTCCATCTCACTTCACCTTCAAAATAGCTAGGCTGTATCTCTACACTTTCGCGGCTATTTGAATGGGTTAATAGGCCTGTAGTGGTAAATAAATCCCCAAAAATCAATAACTCTGTAAGTGTTCGACATTGGATAATGACCACATTAGTTTTAGCGAACTCACTTAGCTGAAGGCTCTCGTTCATTCATCCGCACCAGATCACGAGTTGGAACGCAGTGCTCAACTTCTCCTGCGATCACTAGCCAGTTTAGACCAGTCACTTCTCCATATATTGATAATATATCAAAAATATCTTCCAACCTCCTCGCTTCTGACTTTTGATTTCACTCGGTGGGAACGATTCAATTATAGGTGGCGTTTCTGGTTAAAGTGTTGTCAAACTACAATACCTGTAGCATCATCATCGATGAGCCTAACGTTATATGGTACACTAACGCATAAACTGTGAGTCCGTTCCTTTTAGGAACTCCATAAATCGTTGCTTTACTTTATTTTTCATATATTGTGATATTTTTTCGTATTTTTGAATATTTTCCCTCGTTCATCCTTATAATTTGAAATTGTTGTGAGAGTGTAGACTTCTAATCTACTTAAGTCAAGACTCTTACACCACCCTCGTTTCAGCCAGTGCCTATTTGGCCGGACAATATCGAAACCTGGTTCCGACTTCTATGAGCACGGTATGATTGATCTAAACGTACAATTCCTCGCCATAGTAAAGGCACTACCGTGCAAATTCAACAGGTACGTAATACCTAGTATGTTTACTAGCAATGTTTCGGAACCTTACGAAACTCTAAAATGATCGTTTCTGAAACGCGAAGATATAAGCTATCGACAAATTTTTGACCAACTCCTCAATAATATTGACCTGCAACACGATTCAGCAACAGACATGTTATTACGAATGAGAGGTAATTGGCCAAAGAACTTTCCATGTTGGACTGTTTAGACAATTTTCTTGTCTGAACTTCCTCAACAGGTGCAAGTAGTACTTATCTCGTTTCAAAACAAGCCTTTCTTTCCAGTTCTTTCCAGTTGCTGTTCATTCTTTTCATATCTGCTTCTATTTCCCGGCGTAATGTGGTCTTTGGCCTTCCTCTTTTCCGCTTCCCTTCCGGATTCCAAGTTAAGGATTGAGTCGTGATGCACATTGGTGATTTCCTTAATGTATGTCCGATCCACTTCCAACGTCTTTTCCTTATTTCCTCTTCAGCTGGAAGTTGGTTTGTCCTCTCCCATAAAACGCTGTTGCTGACGGTATCCGGCCAGTGGATGTTGAGTATTTTGCGTAGACAGCTGTTGATAAATACTTGTACCTTCTTGACGATAGATGTAGTAGTTCTCCAAGTTTCAGTTTCATACAGTATAACTGACTGTCTTGACGTTCGTATTAAAGATTCTCACCTTGAAATTGGTTGATAGTTGTTTTGAGTTCCATATGTTCTTCAATTGTAGAAATGTTGCCCTTGCTTTGCCAATCCTCGCCCTTACATCTGCATCCGATCCTCCTTGTTTATCAACGATGCTCCCCAGGTACTTGAATGTTTCCACCTCTTCCAGAGTTTCGCCATCAAGTGTGATTGGGTCGGTGTTCTCCGTGTTGCATTTGAGAATCTTGCTTTTTCCTTTGTGAATGTGGAGGCCTATCGATGCGGAGGCTGCTGCTACATTTGCTGTCTTCGTCTGTATTTGTTCGTGTGTATAAGGTCATCTGTTATGTCCAAATCATCTTATTGATTCTGAGATGTCCATTGTATTCCGCGTTTTCCCTCAGATGTCGAAGTCTTCATAATCCAGTCAATCACTAGAAGGAAGAGGAATGGGGAGAGTAGACAGCCTTGTCTGATTCAGGTCCTCACTTGGAGTGCATCTGTCAGCTGTCCTCCATGCACCACTTTGCACTGTAATCCATCGTATGAGTTTTGGATAATGTTGACGATCTTCTGAGGAACTCCATAGTGTCGAAGAAGTTTCCACAATGTTCTCCTATCCACGCTGTCAAGTGCCTTCTCATAGTCGATGAAGTTGACGTATAGTGATGAGTTCCACTCAACTGATTGTTCAACGATGATCCGTAGTGTCGCAATCTGGTCTGTGCACGACCGATCCTTACGGAATCCAGCCTGATGATCCCTAAGTTCGGCGTCTACTGCGTCTTTCATCCGATTCAGCAGCACTCTGTTGAAAACTTTTCCTGGTACTGATAACAAACTGATGCCTCTGTAGTTCTCACATTGGCTCAGATCTCCTTTCTTTGGTATCTTGATGAGATATCCTTCTTTCCAGTCCGTTGGCACTTGTTCCTCTTCCCAAATCTTTTTGAATAGAAGGTGAAGCATGTTTGCAGTTATTTCAATGTCTGACTTCAGTGCTTCTGCTGGTATATTGTCAGGTCCTGCCGCCTTCCCACTTTTGATTTGTCTGATGGCCATCTTGACTTCTACGATCGTTGGTGGAGTGACATCTATTGGGAGGTCAGTGTGGGCTGCTTCGATGTTCGGTGGATTCGATGGGGCTGGTCTATTCAGCAGTTCCTCAAAGTATTCTGCCCATCTTTTCCTATGTTCCTGAATCTCAGTGATTGTCTTTCCTTCTTTGTCTTTGACTGGTCTCTCTGGTTTGCTATATCTCCCTGCCAATTTCTTCGTTGTATCATATATTTGTTTCATATTCCCTTCTCTTGCAGCTTTTTCCGCCGTCGTTGCTAGTTCTCCCATGTATTTCTGCTTGTCGGCTTTAATGCTTTTCTTCACTTCTCTGTTTGCTTCTGCGTAGTCTGCTTGTGCTTTAACTTTCTCTGCTCGTGTTCGGCTGTTGTTAATTGCTAGTTTCTTGTTCTTCCTTTCTTGAAGTTTGTCCAGGGTCCCCATAGAGATCCATTCCTTGTGATGGTGCTTCTTAGGACCAAGAACCTCCTGACACGTTGAAGTTAGTGCTTCTTTTATCCCTTTCCAGTTGTCCTCCAAAGTAGTTTCTTGTTCTTTCAGTAGATCCTGTAGAGCTTGGAACCTGTTGTTGAGAGTTATCTTGAATTCGTGGATCTTGTCAATATCTCGAAGGAAGGCTGTGTTGAACCTTTGTAGTGCTGTTTGTCCAGTTGTCCAGTCTTTCTTTAGCTTCAGTCTCATCTTGGCCACAACCAGGTGGTGATCTGAAGCTATGTCAGCTCCTCTCCGGGTTCTCACATCTTCCATTGATCTTCGGAATTTTTTGTTGATACAGATGTGATCAATCTGGTTCTCTGTGGTGTGGTCCGGTGAGATCCATGTAGCTGTGTGTATGCGTTTGTGTGGGAATATTGTGCCGCCTATAACCAATTTGTTGAAAGCACATAGGTTTGCAAGTCTCTCCCCATTTTCATTTCTCTCTCCTAATCCATGTCGTCCAATTATATCTTCATATCCTGTGTTGTCCACTCCAACTTTAGCATTTAGATCTCCCATAAGAATGGTGAGGTCCTTTC